AATTACCCATCGATAACATGATCTTCAATTAGAAAAATGAAAATCACCTTTAAGCTTAACAAACCTTTGAGTAGCATGGTCAGGCAGAACCTGCAAATAATGTAACTGCATTAGTCAAATCTAGCTGACCAGACGGACACTGATAATACCATAACAAAATATTAATTACACTTCTCAGGATCGAACGATCACAGTGTCATACCATAGAATTCGCTCTCATTGTTTTCATAAGCGTAAAGTAACAAAATACATGATAGATTATTAAATTATGTTTGTAAACTGATTGTTTCTAAAGTGCTATCTATTTTTATGTGTAATTACAGTAAAACTATATTTAACATAAATTTGATCAATTCAATTATGCTTACATATTATTAAATAAAATGGTATTTTAAATAAGAAAAAAAAAGTGATAATAATGCTATGGGTGGATTTAATTAATATCAAAACAGATATTCTAAAACTAACTTTAATAAAATTAACTATGAGAATATTTAAATAAATGTTGGGCATCAATTATTTGGATTTAGTAAAAAAGAAAAAAAAATCAACTACATTATAGCAACAGCAATTGATAAAACAAAACAAAACTATAATTTTCAACCAATAATAATAAAAGTATCCCAGGTTAGTTTACGATTAAATGAATATAATAATAAGGAAAAAAATTGGACTCTACATGCAGCTCACAAACTCAGAAAAAACAAAACTAAACTTTAACAAAATAATTAATAAGTAATATATTACACTAGCTTAAGCACGATCCGTTCCATAGATTTTTACCTTGGTCTATATGAAGCAACCAGGCAGCCAAAGTGCGCAAACAATCCAGTAAACAAATAAAACTGATGTAATTTTAAGAAAAATAAAATTTATACAATTATAAATAAAAATAATAGATGTAAAAATAAAATTAAAAAATATTGACCAAAATTTAAGAACTTATCTAAATCAGAAAATATAGTAAATTCTGTTATAGTTCGTTTTGTAAACTATGATGCACAACAAATGAAAATGAGAAAATTAATGTACAACCAAAAGATAACTTAAAATTTAATGAAATGATAAATAGGTTCCAGTTAAGCTTGGTTTAAATTAAAAATATATTAATATTTGGATGATTAATAGAGGAAATCGGACATTTTAGTTTATGAACGAATATTTTTTTTTGAAACATAGTTATTTTAAAAAACATAATTTGAATAAAATTAGGTATGCATTTTTATGTATGATTTTTCATTTTAAGTTTAAGAGGTGTAGGGTTCTATCTTTTGATTTGGAGTCAAATTTCTTTTATGGGGTCTTTTATGTCAAAAAACATTTTTATGGGAGGAGGTTTGAATTTATTCAGAAAATGAAAATTTTGATATGTAGAAAGATTGCAAGTTTTCATAATTGTCTAACTAAAAGCTATTACAGTTATTTTTTTTTTTTGTTTTGTGTTAAAGGAGTATCAAAAGACATTTTTTCAAGTATCACATCTCAATAAAATTTCATTGATTTTATCAAAATTAAACGTTTTAATCATTCACCATCTTCTCCAAAAACATTTCAAACACATTTTAATTAACAAATCATGATTTATATAAATATTTGGATCCATGCTCATTCTAACTTCATGTTTCTTGTCACATCTTTATGTTTACCCTCTCTTCATATACTTTTTTTATTAAGTCGAACTTTTCTTTCACATTTAATAATTTTTATTCAGAAGCCAGAAAATTTCTCTATGTGTTAATTACTTTCCCTTTTTTATTAGTAACATTTTAATCAACCACTTAATCAATTTTATCAAACTTGTAAGGATTTAACTGTTTCTAATCTTCTAAAAAAAAAAAACTCAAACATTTAAAATACCTCAATTGAGGTTTTTGTAATTTGTTCATACCAAACGTGTCATAACTTCATGGTTTTTTTCATAATTTAAAGCTAAACATTTCATTTGACACTAAATTATTCTAGTATAAAATAATACCTTTAGGACCTAACTTCATAATAAGAAAGATAAATTTATAATGAAAATTACACTTCATGTTAAGAAAGATAAACAGAGAATATCATTCTTATGGGTACCACAATTGTTTAATTTTTTAACAAAGTATTCTCCGAATTTCCTTAACTCTGAGAAACAGTGAAACATGCTTTGTTTTTACTTATTGAATTGATATTCATTCTTATCTTTTTATATATTTTTAATTATGAAATTTTGATCAACATATATAATTTAATTCTATTTACAGAATATTTTTCATCATACAAATAAAAGGCCTCGAATAAAATTTTGAACAATAGAGATTCAAGTCTATGTACTTGGACAAATTTTGAAAAGTTATCAGAAATCTTACATGGAAAAAAAAACATATATAGAAGACATATTTTTAAGAAATATACTTCAAAATATTTAACCAACTTGAAATTTTCACTGAACCATAAAATTTAATAATTAATACAGCAAATTTATAGCAAAAGATAACATAGTTTTATTGATATAAATACTTTCCAATGTAATGTAATTAGTCCATTTGAAAATTAATATTTAAACATGTCATGTATAAGAAATAAATAAAATTTAATAAAAGATGTACTAAACCATAATTTAAAATTTCATATATGTAATCATATTTATTCAGGAGTATAAAAATATTAAAACTATAAATATAATATGTATATTTCTAAAAATAATGATAAAATATAAATGTATTCAATGCATAATTGAATAAATTAAGTTACTCGTCCCCATAAAAATAAATAAAAAGCAACAATGAATCAATTAAGCTTAACTGAAACAATATGAGGAGACAGGAGCTTTCTAAATTTATGAGGCTTCCAATAAACATTTAAGGTTTCCCAAAGCAAACAAGGATTGCTCGTTGAAAAGGCTAAACAACCATCTCCTACTAATCTCAACCAAGAAATTGCTGCTAATAAAGACAGCAAACATAAAGCTTAATCTCACAAATGAAGGACAAAGGGAATGAATATTCATACAACAGAATGAAAAATCAGAGCTAAGAATAAACTATTTTCATTCAATAATTCATTTACCGATAGTTTATTCTTAGAGGAGGAGGGAGGAGAAATAACCCATAAATAAAAATGTTCTTTATTTAAAGAATCCTCATATCACATTTAAACATTTTTTTTCTGTTTAAACTAAATATAACTTTTGATACCATTTCTATTTGTTGTATGCATTTAACTTTACATAATGATTCATAAGAAGTTTTGGTTAGAGTTAATATTTTTAAAATGAACTTCAAACTTATGATGATATATATGCATTTCATAAAGAAGCAGAAACATATCACTTAGATAGAGATAATTCTATCTTATTATGAAAAGTTAAATGAAATTAGAAACTTAGATAAAAAAAAGAAACTGATATAAAATCCAAAAGTTAGAAAACGAATCTGTTCCAAATGTAAAAGTTAAAACATTTAATAGATAAAATACTTTACAGCATAATTTAGACAGCGGACAATATTTCATCTTTATATTTGTAAAAATTTAGTCAAAAGTCAAAACAAAAATAGTATTAAGTAAAAATAAATAAAAATAAAAAATTGATCTGATTGATTCTATGACACAGCATTAAGAAAAAATAATATAATGTTTAAGAGAAAAATTCAGATCCTCAAGGGACTTCTTTCTTATGCCTTGTATAAAATCTGAAAAATCAGGCAGATATTAGAGCTGCTGAAATACTTTAGGAGCATATAGGCCATCGAAAATAGGATAAATACATTCTTAAAGGTAAATTTTTTATTTTTCTGGCGATAATTATTTTATTAATCATATTTATCTCTAATATATACAAATTTTCGGGGCACTGATCCTTCCCTCAGTAATACTCTATCTCCTAAGGATCATAAATATTGTCCCTTATGTCATCCATATTTTTTTTATTTTGTCATTTTTCTTATAATATTATAACATCTATTTTATTTAGGAACATTCTAATCTTGCATTGTTACCCTGACTTTATATCAATGGTTGGTCTTGATAGATTTTTTTCTTCTCATTAATTTAATAAGATAAATACTAGTGTTTTAGAATAATAAAAATAAAAAAATAGCATTAAGGAATTGGAAGTATTTGAGTAAATAATCAACGTTATTTACCTCATGTAAGATTATTTTTCATTTTAAAAAGTATATAGAATAAGTATTTTAATTAAAGAATTAAAAAAAATATTACATATTTTATAAAAAAAAAAATTTAATACATTATAAGATAAAAATATTTAGATAAATAGATTATATCTTATTTTAAATATATATATATTTAAATATATACTAATGACATATATATATATATATATATATATATATATATATATATATATATATATATATATATGTCATTAGTATCATAATTAAGTAATGAAACCAATGTCTACTATAGAAGACTGAAGAGTTTTTAAGATATTATTTCATCACTGGAGTACAGAATGTGATGGATGTTTAAGTAGTAACTCTACCTCCTACGTAAATGACAACTAATCAGACTAATGTAATCCTTGAAAATACTTGTACCGAATAAATATTAAATGGGGAAAGAATATTTTTTAATCTAATTCAACCAATAGTAAATTTGAACATCAAAAAAGAAAATATTATGAATATATCAAAATTAAACATGAATCATTCAAGCAGTAGATATAAGCCCATTAATTTAGAATTAATGCAGCACATTTAGCTAAACAGAGCAATATTCATTTAAAAGCAATTCATTTTTTTCTTGAATTCATTTAATATTGAAGCAATTCAAACTGCATTCATTCAATTCTTAAATTCATATAATATTGAAGCAGGTCAATTAAATTATCCATAACAATAAAAGCAGAAAATAGAAATAACAGAAATAAGTAATCCTCACAATGATATATAATAATAATAAAGCTATAAAAAGAAATTGTGTAGATTTGAGACAGCTATACAATTTCTAAAATTGAACATTAATAATCTCTTAAATATAAAGATTTTCTCCAACCCACCTACCTGCGAGTTCTTTCCAGGACTCTCGACATAAGCAATAGGAACTGTCTTGTTTTTGTACAATCTCAGCACTTCTTCATCAGACACTCGTGAAAGGCCACGAAAAACAGTTCCTAACTGAATTTGTAAGAAGGAATCTAACTTCATTAGAAGCCCTTTTTCAATATCATAATGTAATCCTCGGATGGCAAAGTGAGGGAGGTATGGCATTTTAGCAATACCATGCGGATACTAAAATGAAAAATAACTTGAGTAATTTTACATATGTTACCATAAATATGTTTGTAAAATTATTAATAAAAACCTTACAAAAAATATTGCTTAATGAAAGGTAAACAATTACTAAAAATTCAGCGAAATTCCAATTCTAATACCTTGAATTTAGTTATTAGTGACTCCATTCCTAAGTTATACAGCAAGAGGTCCATAGATGGCTTATAAACTGCAAGTGTATAATCGTAATCGAATCCGTAAACTTTGACTTCTTTCAAATCCAATTCATTACACGCAAATACACCTTTCATATTCACATCAAATGGCAATTTCTTAGCTTTGTGGGATAATAATAGAACAAATAGATTAAAATAAAATTCTTAGCATACTATAGAGGTTTTAAAGGATATGATTTTAAAATATATTGATATTAAAATGTACTCACATTCACATTTTTGCTTTGTCCTAAGATATGCTTCATTTAGTGATATATCTTCAGTTTTGAGAACTGTATAGAATGCTTTCCTTGTGTAGTTGTGACAAGATATGTTTTCTAACATCGAAGAAAAGCATCGCAAAGCCTGAGTAAATTCCCTCTTCATCGTTGACAAACTCACTGAAGCAGCTCCTTTCATCCAATAACCTTCCCCAATGATGAGTGGGGAGCCTTGAGAGCTATTTTCTTACCGCACTGAAATGTTCAAATCGAAAATTTATTCAATCCATCCATTAATCGTATTTTTAAATTACTTCCATAAATTGGTATTCTTAATTGATTAATTTTATAAACGTGCCATTCCAGAATAATAAGTTTTCTATTTAATTTAAGATTAAAAAAAAAAAAAAAATGATTTACTGTTTGGAATCTCAATGTACAAAAAGTAAATAAATTTAAAAATATGATTTTAAAAACCATTAAAACTCAAAAAACCCTCACATAAACCATTTATTAGACATTTTTTCAAAAACGTTGCCAATAATTGTATCATTAAGTATTATGTATTCAAAAATATAATTCAAGTATTTTAACCCAGGAATATATGAGAAAGTGTTTTAGAATCATGATTATTACTTTTATGACATTATTTAAATTTTTACTATAAAAAGCAGCTATCAGCAGCAAACGTGTAGATACTAAAAGTTAAATTATGCTGAAAAATAATTTGCATTTCAAGAGATTTTCAGAGATAATTGGCTATGAAGTTGAAATTATTTAGGTAAAACAAATTTATGTATTTACAGATATAATAATTCATTTGATTTTTATGCCGCTTCATACAATTTTGTTTTTAATACATAAGGACAAGTTCCTAAACACAGCGCTATTGTTGATGATTGATGAGCACCGGAATCTATCAGGTTGTTCCTTAACTCATCGATGGAAAGTGCCCGAGTTCCTAAACTCAACCTTAACCTCATTGATGAACACTAATGGATTAGAGCTCAATTTAGAAACTTGTATAAAGGTTCTGATTTAAAAAAAAATTGTGTAGCTTCGAAATTACTTGTGCAATTAACTGTAAGTTGATCTGTAAAGATTGTACGTAACGCACGAAAATTTTCTTAAAATATATCAATGGATATATTTAAAGTAATTTCAAGGAAACTCTCAAGTTTAATATAAAAATTTCAAAATGATTCGTATTTATAGGACAATTTTAGTAAAACGTGATCAATATTCTGAAGCTGGTTTGGCAAGAAACAGGGCACGGTAAACGAGATGTGCATGTGGTGTTAGAAGAACCTTGGAGAAACCGACCCAGATGTCATGTTTACTCCATGACAAAAAAAGAAATGTGAAGTATTAGCATAAGCTGCTGAGTTCCAGAATTAATTTTTTTTTTTTTGGTTAATTTTAATTCTTGGACAATTGCCAATGTTATAATATTTCTGTAATACTTTACATGTTTCATAAATAAAATTTTTAGTTATATAACTAATTGATATCGTCTGAAACATTAATTTTGGATTCTTAATTAAGTTGTAAGATTCTTTATTTGAAAGAATAATAATGAAGAACGCAATAATTATGCGTTAGGTATGCATAATTAAAAATTAAGACGAAAGTCATGAAAAAAATATGTTTGTAGATTTTTGTTTTTTATTTTTATAAAAAACAGTTAATAATTAAAATAAAATAATTTATTGTCTGGATTTAAGGCCCTACTTCCCACTAAGCCTGGTCCTTGCTGTAAGTTAAACCAAACCTCGTAAATAAGGGGAGACCTACAAGTTGTAAGAATTCCATGAACAGGTTATCAAAAAAAAAAAAAAATATATATATATATATTATCTAAATAGATTATTTAGAACAGATACAATAAATTATTATATTATATTATTAGTAACACCGTATAAAGAAATAAATTATAATAACATTTATGTCACGAGTTATAAAATCGGAGCAAGTTACTAAACTAAGCGCAGAGCTCATCGATGCCATGTGAAGTACATCAACTGATTAATGGAAACCGTGGATAGCAGGTTTCTTTATTCAACGATTTAATCATCGAACGCTTAGCGGTCCCATCAGCTTTTAAGGTCAATGGATCCGCAGGATTTAACCTTAGTGGATTTCTTAATTACACTTTGAGAAAACACATTTCTTTTGAAATCCAACAATATAGTAAGTAGACATATCCTAATTGCTGGAACCCAATGACTTCTTCAAGCAGGTCAATGACTTCTTAATTAAATCGTTGTTAAACTAATTCACACCTATATAGTGTAAGTTTCTAAAACTAAGCGCTAATTACAATGATAGATTGAATTCAGCAACAATGGTTTATTTATGCTGAGTTTAGGAACAGCCTGATGGATTCCACCGGAAGGTTAAAATAACTAAAAGGTTACAAAATACATAAAAATGAAAAAAATATGTACGCAAATTTAACTGTTAAAAATCTGCTGAATGTTTTAATTTCAAAACAAACATAAATATAAAAAAAAGGAAATTTAATTTCAATATGTTAAGAAAATTGAGAAATAACAACAGTGATGTTTGTTTTTTTTAAAGCCGGTACAACCTTCGTTGAACCATAGGCGCTTCAATTGATGAATAAAGGAAGGCGCTAAATTCCATTTATTGATTCATCGATAAGTTGTTTAGGAACGGCCTGATGGATTTCCAATGCCGATCATTGAGTTCAGTAACATTTATATTAAGCTTATTTTCTATCTATGTTTATTTCTATTTTTAAATTCAACAATTTAGTAGGTAGGTATTTCTTAATTTTTTTTTTTTTAATTTTTGCTTCCTAATTGCTATTTAGTAGGGAAGCTTTTTATTCTTACAGGAGATTAAAAAAATGTGCTCAGAATCGAAAATTTCCACTTGCGTTTTACAGCTCAGACACGAAGGATCATTTTTTTTTTTCATAGGTTTTGATACCTTACAGAAGTTTGAACCTTTCGTTGAAAACCAACAAGTTGTTGTTGAAGCGATTCACACCTATTCACTTCAAAGTCAATTTAAAAATAAATTGATTAGATAAATATTTGTCAACTTATGTCTGCCTCGTCGGGTCAATCAATCTTCTGTTTAATCTCGGTCTCATGAAGTATTCGTTTTAAATCTCGAAATCATTATTATTTGTGTAATGAACGAAACATTTTTCTCTTTAGTTGAATTAATATGCGGATTTGTTATGCCCCGGTAAAGTACAAATTATATCAGAATATTGTACAACTTCTGGTGATAAAATATTACTTATTTTCTAATAAATATATAGTGATGAACTAAACATTAGAATTTCGCTTATTTTTTAATGATTGGATACAAAATCCTCGGTTTATATTTAATCTAAATTTTCCTATTTGCATTGGTATCTTCGATGAAGTCGAGAACTTTCACGAAGTATTCCGCGATTGAATTAGTTATAAATGTGGATTCAGTCAGTTATATATAGTTTTAATATTTAAAACAATTATAAAATGAAAATAACAATACCATAAAATAATACTATTAAGACAGATTTTTAAAATGAGACTTATATCATTAAAAAAAAAAGAATTCCGATTTTTTTCTTCCTAAACACACCATTTTATCAACCGAAAGAAGACCTTAGTTATTTTATCTGTTCAGTGTTGGCAGAGTACTTGTTAGGATAATCTTTTACCAATTATTCAATAATAAACTCTTATAGCACATCTTTTAACAAGCATTTAATTATTAATAATTGCTACTCGTAGATCTCATATAAATTTACAGCAGTTGCCATGCGATAATCTCCTACGCAAGGACAAATATCGCAGCCCATTTACGATCCAACATAAAGCAAGACGAAATGCAATCTAATTGTTGGATTCCTGACAAAAGACAAATTCATTGAATGTTCTCGAATGCAATTTGAATAAAAATATCAGCATCAATAATTTTTAACATTCAAACTAAAATTTATAATTATGTAGATATGGTTGACCATGATATAATACGAGAAGGAGTTGGTCGAGGGTGTGGTCAAATAAATAATAAATTTTCAAAATCTACATTCCCCCTCCATATTGAAATTCAAAACCCTCCTATTCCAATTCCTATCCTAAAAACAGTCAAATAGTTGCTAACCATTCGACATTAATGTATTTATATATTATGATGTATTTATATATTAATCAACATTTAAATGTTGATGTATTAATATATTAATCAGGTACTTTATATTGTTAGGCTCAGTTTTCTCTTTCCTCAACAGAAACACAAAGCTTATTTTAATGATGAATTTAATATTTTTTTTTTCTTTACTGTTTTCTTAGAAGTGTATATAAAAGTGTATACTGGTCTATCACTGCAAATAACTTTAAGTGTCTTGCCGTAGTGTTAATTGTTTTGTATATAGTTTCGTTTGTTTTGTATATAAAATGTTAACTTTATATTTTCTTTACATCATTTCTTTTTTCTATTGTTTTTATTAAGGCCAAACGTAATCATTTAATTTTGTTCTATTTGGTTCTTCTCAAGAGACTTTGTCCTAGAATAAAGTTATTTTCTATCTATCTATCTAGTACAGTACCAAATTGGTATTAAAATACTATTTTGAAAATTTAGTATTTATTTATTAGAGTGCTACCATTGGGTAGTTACTCAGCAAGTGTATTCATGTCATTATATCAATTATGTCCAAATTTACTTGATGTATTTATGTAATACAGTTGTAAATGTCATAAAGAAATAAAAAAAAAAAAAGTATTTATTTGATCGCACCCCCGGACCAACTCCTTCTCAAAATTTATAATTATTAAATGATGTATTTAAAATTAATCAAATGATTCTATTTTTAAACCTTTATTAATCATAAATAAAACATAAGATTAATTGAATAAATTTTAAGGTTTGATTTTCTTGGGAAAAATTGTTATATTACAAAAACAATTTTTGTGTGTTTTTTTTAATGCTCCCTGTTGGCTTTACATACCTTGTAGATCTTTGACCATCTGAATCAACTTTTTCTACCTCTGCCTTTTTTAAAATTTTTATTTTGCTACTACCTGAATATGTACGGCATATGAAGGGAGAAGAGAGAGGGTATCTTACAGGTACCAATCTATTCCAACCAGAGAGGGAAGGTCGAGATTTATTTCATGTGTCCATCCTGAAACAAATCTCAACCCGCCCAGCCCGGATTCGAACAGTCGCCGC